TTGATGTAAAACATCATGATGAACAACTTTCATGAAGGATGAAAGTTGTTTTGAAGTTGATTTGATGGTCAATTTATATGGATTTTGATGGGTTTGGGTTTAGACCTAAATTAAGCCCTTAAGGGTCAAATTTGGGTCAAACTTGAGCTAGCTTTGGGCTAAGCTCAAATTGATTATTGTGTTTGGTCAAAAATGACCTTATAAAGGATTTTAAACAAAAAATGGATGCCAATTTGAGATCTAAGGCATTCAATTGTTGAGATTTGGGGTGTTAGCCAATATTGGGGCTAATTTGGGGGTTTTATCAAAATGGTCAAATTGACCAAATTGGACCATGGTCTAGTTGGACAAAATGAAATTGGGAGTATTTTGGATTTATTGAGATTTTTTGGGAATTTTTGGAATTTTTATATTTTTGGGTCATGGGGGGGTATCTTGGTAATTTGTCTATTTTTGGAAATTTTTGTCAATTTTGACAAATTTGTATGTATTCAAGGTGTTTGAAATAAGTTTTGATCAATTTTGGGTATTTTGGCAAAATTTAAGAATTTTGGCCAAATTTGGGTCCCAAGGACAGTCAGACAATTTGGAGGTGCCTAGGGACAAAAGACCAAATTGGCCATTTCAAGTGCAATTGGATAGAGAACCATTCTGAATGAGTCATAGACCAATGTATTGTGAATATATGGTATACCCTAGTTCCAAGTCAACATCCAGAGTCAATCCTAAGGCCAAGTAATCCTATAGGGACTCTTCTTAAACTTCCCCCATAATGATCTTACCTACTAAATGCTAAAGGTTAAGGTCAATATGTGGAATTTCAAGTTGAATAAAGAGAAGAGTTTTGAATTTCTAATGGTGAGGGTACCTTTTCTAGTTTTCTAAGACTAGTCAATAGGAAAGTCCTATGGCTAGACCTAGGCTACTAAAGAAGTTTCTAGACCTCAACCAAAAGTGAGGTCAACAGTACACTTCGAAGGGTTTAGCTTCATGATAAATTTTTTAAGAGCTTCAAATGTTTCTTTTAGGTCTTTAATATATTGTTCAACTAATTTGTTTTTCACCATGAGATCGTTGACATACACCGCAACATTTTTTCACTTCTGATATGAAAATATTACATCCATGAGGCGTTGATAGATTTCCCCGGCATTAACCCAAAATACATTACATTAAAAAAGGCTCCCTGTGTAGTATTAAAGGTTGTCTTTTAAGTGTCGGTTGGGTGCATCTTTATCTAATGATAACCCTAGAAAGATTCGAGGAAACTCATCACAGAGTAGCCAACTGTCGAATCAATCAATGTGTCAATCCTCGGTATAGGATACATGTCTTTTTGGGCATGCAATGTTGAGGTTAGTGAAGTCGACACAGTCTCCATTTGTCATTGGGCTTCCCAGCCACACCACATTTGAGAGCCAAGTCAGGTGTTGCACCTCCCGGATGTAGCCCACCTTCTTAGCTTTTGGACCTCTGCTCCTATTGGTTCAGCCAACGTCCTCGCGGTCGATCGAAGCTTTTGTTCCACCGATCGAGTGAAAGGGCTGATATTGAGCCAGTGGCAGGTGGCGTCAACTGGGACTCCGTCATGTCCACGATTGTCCAATCGAACACCTCTTGATGTGTGCGGGGAGTTCAAATCAATAGGTCCATGTGCCCTGCATCAAAGTTCTCACTAATTAGAAAAATATTATCAGGCTCATCCTTACTGGTTGTGGGCACGTGGAGGACAATCTCTCTTGTCTTGAGACCTCTTCTCTCTGGATTTGAATGTTGAGCAGTTTCTGGTCGACATTGGTGACCGCCTGAAGGTAGTAGCTTCTGAACTACTGCAAATTCCCTCAAACTGTGATTATCTCCCCGTCTCTAGTGAATTTTACCGTCACTTGGTAGGTTGAAGCCACTGCTTGATAGTTGTTCAACAATGGTTAATCGAAGATCGCATTGTAGGTCGGCGGGGATTCTACCACCAAATAGTTCTCTATTTTGGTGAATTGCTTTCCTCATTCTCCTTATGAGAGAGGCAACGCGATTACGCCCAGAGCTTCTTTCCTCTCACCTGAGAAGCAAACAACGAGCCGACTCATGTCTCCAGCCAATCGGTTTTGAGCCCCATCTTGTCGAACACTGTTTTGAACATAATATTAACTGAAATCCTAGTGACGACAAGAATGTTGCCTACCTAGTAGTTGTTTATGAGGGTTCTGATGATGAATGCCTCATTGTGTGGGTTTCCTTAAGAGGATGATCTGCATTGTAAAAGTGATCGAAGGCTAAGTATGAGTGTAAGAGTTGACAGTGCATACCTCCCAAGATCAATGCTTTTTAGACAGTGGGAATAACCCTCCACCTCCGCCAAAGATAGTCGGGATGATTCCAACCATATATATTTCATTTTCTTGATTGGAACCGTCTGTGGGTTCCTCTATTAGGGTCTTTCCTTGTCATTGTGTGTGCTCCTACGTCAATGAACACTTTCAACCTTTCAACCCAGATGAGCTCCTCTACCAAGTTTTTAAAGTGACGACATTCCTCTGTGTCGTGCCCATGGTCCCGATGGTAGGCACAATAATTGTTTGAATTTTACAGTGTTGATGCAGTCTACAGCGGAGGGGCTTTCTTGAAGTAGTCATTATTTTGAATGGCTTGGACTAGTTTGGTCATTGACATATTCAGGGTTGTCGAACATTGCACTCCTGGTATATGTGTGGTTGCTCGAAGTAGCGAGGCGGTCACTGATCGGAGGGAAGTCACTGCTGACCTGGGTTGCTTTGGTTGCTCTTCTGGTGATATGAGGAGCTTGGGTCGTCGTTCGATACACAACTAAGGGATCGATCGCTCTTTGGTATTTTGTATTCATTCTGGTCCTTCCGCTTCTACGACCAGTGGTCGGATGCCATCAGTTTAATTTCTGAGGACTTCATAAAGTTCTCCTCGACGGCGGTGTGGTCATTTGCTAGTTCCAAGACCTCCGCGAAGGTCCTTGGCTTGAGTAGGTCATGTTGTACCTGAATCACTTGCTGCAGATCCTCTATTTCATGGCGGTCCAGGCGATGAGAGGCTCCAAGTTTATCACTTCCAACATTTCCTTTTAGAAACGATTGATATAGGCCCGCAAGCTTTCGTTCTCCCATTGCCTGATCTGAAACAGGGTATCTGCATCATTCCTTGGTTTATGTACGTTAGCATAGTGTGTCAGGAAGAGCTTCCAGTATTTGAAGAACGATGGAATGAATCCATCTGGTAAGCTATTAAATCATCGAAGTGCGAGTTCTTTCAGCGTGGTCACAAACAACTAACACTTCAAGGCATCATCGACTTTTAGGACCTATAGTAAACTAAAAAATAGGTGAGGTGATCGATCGGGTCACTCTTTCCTTTGTAGGGGTCGAAGTGAGGAATCCTTAGCTTCGTCGAGGGAATTGTTTCTAGGATTCTTTGGGAGAAGGCACTACCTATAACCGACCGAGCGAATGCTCCCACCCGGTTCATCCAATGTGGGACCGCCAACATAGATGTGGTGTTGTCTGTCGGATGGAATCTTTTGGTAATTCGGTTGGCCAGCCGCTGGGCTGACCGTGGGGCACTGGCAGATTGTCGAGGGAAGCGTTCTGGGGCTGCTTCCCGAAGACTCACTCCACAGGCAACAATAGGACATTTTGCAGGAATATGACTGCCTGAAGAGCTTCAAACTGGATCATTATTTGTATTCATAATGTCTGAACCTCTTCCTGTATGTGTCAACATACCATCTCTTAAATGAACTTCATGGGCGTTAGTTTTCTCCGCTTAGATTCTCCATAGTTAGCTCATTTCTTGTCTGGGACATCCACGCTCACCGCGCCACCTTTTAGAATGTTAAATCCTAAATTGTCTGTTATGAACACGCCTTGAAAGTTCGAGACAGAGGATAGAAATAATAATTAGGTCAATTCTTATAGTCAAACTGGGGAAAAAGTCTCTTATACAATTAAAAAAAAAAGTAAACTATTAAAAATCCACCCTTAATATGATTAATTATACTGATTTGATATCAAATCTGAATTACAATTTAAATTTGAAAATATAATAACCAACCAATCGACTTGCCTTAGCTCCGCCAAACGACATGACCGGTCAAATGACGACCGTGCGCGCTAAAGTAAAAATAAGTCGGTTGACTGTTGTGATCAGATGCCCTACTAAGAAACCTCTAAGGTACCAAGGCTACAAGCATAGTTCACCAATTGGGCCCCTTGTCATTGCATGCTAGTAGCCTTTTTACCATATGATCAATCATTAAATGAACGATTCTGTTTATGCCCTTTTGGCTTGACATCTCGATCACTTAACAACTATCCTATGTTGTTGGATTGTTTTGAATTTTTTGCCGACAATTTTAATGCACACAATAACATTAGTTGTTTTTAAACACAAAAAAGCTTTTAATGGTTTTTAAAATAAATTAATGTATGTAAATAAAACATACAAAAAAAAATACAAATATTTTTAAAATAAAGATAAAAACATAAATAACAATAACTTATAATAATAATAATAAAACAAAGAGTGAACCCAAAAGCCTTTCACAAATATTAACCAAACATTTCATTCAAAATTTTGAAAACAAGAAATTGAACACAATTAAACTCGTGAAGAGAATCGAGGCAGTAGCTCCAAACAAAACTTTTTTCAAAACTGACCGGAGCATGACACCATAAAACAAAATAAAAAGTTTTATTGCAGTCCTACAACCATAGGTTATAACATACTTATCTGTACAACACTTGTTTCCTCAACTACATACACTCACTCAAACGCATAATCCCTTCACAACAAGCTCAAACCAGAGCCCCATTATAATACAACAGCAAAACCCTGAACACAAAAAATGGTTAAATAAAGTAAAAACAAGCTCACAACCAAGCTCCAATGAAAAGAATAACCACAAAAAACACAACCCTTGATATTCAACATCAGAAAATAAAAATAAATAATAATAAAAGCACCAGACTAATTGGGAGCAGCTGCAGCTAAAAACACACTGACACCGTCCCCTCGCGATTCCCCGTCGCAATTAAATATGGCTCCTCTGAACCAGTGGAGACCAAAAGCTTAACGGTAAAAGAAATCCAATAATCAGATTTTGCAAGAGTATGAGAAATGCAGAAAGAGGTTTTTTTAAGATATATGCAATAGCACCATATTCGGAGCTTAATTATCCAGGATCCTCAGAACAGATGAAGAGCCATTTTAAGCTTGTTCTGTTTCCACTTGGGCAACTTGTAGAAAGCATCCTTCGTTATGCCGAATTTCTCCTTAAATTCTGCTGAAGACAGATAGGTCTGCACAAAATGCATGCATACATTTGATTAAATCAAAAGTAAAAATTAATTTAAAAAAATGATGAAAATATAGAAATAGACACAAAGGGGCTTGATGATGACCTCTCGTTTGGTTATGTCGATTTCTGAAACGGGATTTGAGGATGTTATTTTCAAACGTTCATAGGGGAAAATAGGGAGGCCTTGCTCATCTTCAGCCTCTCCTTCCTTCAAATCTTCCTGTATTGTGGGCGATTCAATTCTACTGTTCATTACGTTGACATTCTCCTTGGAATTTGTTTCAGGTTTTGCTGTGCCAGAAGCAGGGCTCGCTGTCAGACTCAGCAGTGTTAGAAGTTCTTCTTTTAAGTAAATATTGGAAGATCAATAAAATTATACAATCACCTTTAGTCATCTTCGGAATCATAGTTTGGGTTGGGCGTTCAAAGGAAGCCGTGAGAGCCGCTATAGCTGCTGCCTTGGGAGCAGCAGTAGGAGGAGAATCTGGCGTCACTGATTTTGGATATAGTTTTCTCACAACAGGGGGAGGGGTTGACAGGTTCCGAGCAATTGGATTTTCAAAAGTAGCAGCCAATGCATTGAAGGCGGGAGATCTACCTCGAACCCGAACCCGGTCAGGACTGAACGACGTACTTCGAGAGCGCTGAGATTTGTCTGGTAAACTAGACCTCCCAACGTGCGTTGTCGGAGTTCGCCGTTTGGACTTCTAGCATAAGTTTTCAAGAGTTCATGAAAAGTAATTTCTAGAATGAAAATGAAGAAAATTTACTAATATTTTTATGAGGACATAAAGATTTATCTGTGATGAAGAAACGAGGGTTGAGATTTACAGGACATCAACAATGGTTTTTTTAAAATAAAATGACAATGATGTAGGTAACACTGGTGGTGGTGCTGCTGCTGCTCAAGCAGAAGAATGTAACAGTTCATGGGCTACGTGATGACTGGAAAAATGTATCAAAAGCATAGAAAAGCCAATCTGCAAGAGATTTTAAGAAGATAAACAAAACTAAAACAATCCTTTTGATGGCTGCTCAAAAGAACGCTACAAGAATATCTTTTACTGATAGAAAGGCGGCTTATGCAATAATTATGACGAACCTTTCAGCATTGGGAAACTATGCTAGAGAACAGATGCAGAATCTAAGAAAAAAGGAGGGACATCGAAGAATAAAATTAAGGACAACTTACTATGAAATGAAATCAAAGATATATTTCTAATTGGGAAGTAAAAGAATTCTCTAAACACCACATAAATTGCAGGGCAATTTTAATATCTAGAACCATAGTAAAAGAGTATAAATTTAATCTTCTAGAACCAAAGCAAAATAGACTATAAATTTAATCTTACATCTAGCAATATTGGAGCTAGCCCATTCTTCAATATAGAAAGCTTCCGTTGGAATGAATTACCATGCATCTGGAAACAGTGAAACAAGTAAAATCCATAAGCCATTCAATACAGGAAAAAAAAACCTCATCTTAAAGCAGCCGTAGACAAAATAATTCCCTACATCACTTGAAAGCCAGAAAAGCATATATAAAAAAGGAAAGCACATTTGACCTGTAACAATAAAAACGCAAACTTACAGCTGATTTTGCAAAATCCCAGCTGAAAAAACGAGTAAAAAAAGAAGGTTCGCTTCCTTCCATGACAAGAAAAACAGGTGTTTCTTTTGATAAATTTTCCATCAGAAAATCATACTCAAGGAATTTCTGTAAAGAAAAAACTGATATAAGAATAAAACAAGAAAATACATAATAGGTCGGAAATCCAAATTGTGGCAACTCTACCTCTCCAATATTCAAAGCTTGCAATCGTGTCCTTGCATCCACCTGCTGGCCTACCCAAACAAAGATGTCAGAATGACAATATAAAATGAATACATCCTCGGCCATCAAATCATCCTGAGTAAAATTGTGTATTTCTGAAACCTGCAGAGACAGTATTAACAGCATACTAAATCATAAAAGAGCATAAAAAAGCCCCAAAAAGCCATAAGAATTCAAAGTAATTGAAGAAAATACCTTTAAATTGCCTGAAATACCACCGTCCACATTACATGTTGACACAACAATGCACGTAATTAACAAATTAAAGAAACAGAGGATATTATACATTTTGAAGGAAATGATCCATTTTATCATTTCTTACCGTCTGAAAAGGTACAAGAAAATAGGTGAGGATCACTTTCTGGTTCTCTTGTCATGCTTTGACTTGGGTATTCAGATTTACCCCCAAGCAAGCTCCAAAACTGTTCACTTTCTGATCCTTCCTTCTGTGGTTTTGGCTGGATGTTTGGCTGCGTAATTCACAAAGTTATTCGATATGAATGAACCAGAAAGGGAACGAGACAAGTAAATGGTGAAAAAAAGCATTTGAAAAAAACTGTTAGTGATAACAGAGAACCAGATAAGTAGATGTGGGCTCCGAAAATTTGGACGCGCCCCCAAACTCTCTATTTCGTGTTTCTTTTGTTTTAGGCCAAATTTTGAAAAGACAGAAGGAATAGTAGACAAGACACTACCCAGAGATTTCACACTCACTTTGCGAGGACTTTTTGTATGGGGTTTGAGACTTCTCATAAGCGCAAGCCCTCTAAAGTTAGTTACCCCTCCCAATAACAAGAGAGCACTTTCGATTAAAGCTAGTAAATTAACATTGAATAATCAGCATATAATAACAACAAACATACATTTTAAATTGTAAAACTTATCACATTGAGCTTAAATCAGATGATGGGGGAAATGATGACGAACCCGAACAAGATCCCATGTTATGTCGTTCTAATTCATCATGGTCTCTGCTCTACTTACTCACAGGAAGTAGTCAACCCAGCCCGACTGAAGAATCCTTATCAGAAACCATGGGTTGCGTCATCCAGAAGATCCTCATAGTTCTAGGATGGATGTTTGTCTAAGAGGATAAATTTAAGTCGATCATAACTAAAAGAAGACATTATGCTATTCAAATGCATCATTATGGTTCACACAAATGTTAGAAAGCTGTTGGGAAAAATACAAGCCGTGTACATGATCGTAATAAAATGATGTCATTTTGCGGCAACCACCATGTCAAATGACTATGGTCATGACTGTTATTTTATGGTGTCATTTGGTGGTCAAACCATGAGACCAAAATACTTGGGCTAGGTCCTTACTGCCATGAAATTAATTTGGGTGTAAATATAATGATACACTCGATGTGATATTAGTTCTTTTATGAGCTAAAGTCAATCAAAAGTTTGTCAACCTCGACAAACTGTCGTGGAGGGTGGATGAATTTGTCTTACATTTTTATTAATTGATTTTAAATTGGCTATTTTGATTTAAAAACTTAGTTTGAAAGTTGGTTTGAAATTAACACATCTGATTGAGAGTTTCAGTCAATACGACCATCATCGAAGATTGATTATTTGATTAGAATCGTGTTGATTTTACGTTTTGCTTGTAAAGAATTAAATATAACATTGACATGTGAGTAAACATGAACATTGTCTATTCTATCATACATATAGAAGATCGGGCTCATATATATGTATTATTTGAACATATTCAAATGCAGTTTGAAATTTAATTTTGAAAATAAATCCCTTAGGTTGAAATATTCTATTAATTTGACGACATTTGAAATAATTATGTTTGAAGAATATTTGAAATTCATTAATTTTGATATCTTTAAAATATTAGACTTGCCAACTCTAGTTATAAGGAGGAGGATTTGGCTAAGTGATTTGAACTTACAAATTCTTGTATATTTGATTTGGACAATATTGGTAGATATTAGACTGATCAACTCCATTCTTAAGAGGAGGAACATCGGACTATGTGATTTGGAGTTGCAAATATTTATGCCTATGATTCAAAATTTATTTCAAAATTATTAAACTCGTCAACTCTAATTCTTAGAGGATCAAACTGGTTAGGTAAGACTTACAACCATATCCTATAGACAAGACCGACTGATTTTTTTCTAAATATGAACTATTTGAGTGCAAATTTGATATTAACCCAGACAACAATCGTAAGCTATTAGTAAAAGCATTTGGAATCTTAGTTGAAGCCCATGTGGGTTTGATTTTGCTAATACAAATGCATCTTAATATATTATACACTACATTTGAAACAGTATATTGCAGTTATGAACCATTTTGAAGTGCAAGTGCATTGCTAATAGAAATCAATACTTTGTTTGTTTAGATGCATATGCATAGCTTGAAAGCATTCGAGCAATTGAATTTAAGGCATGTTATCTAAATTAAAATAGCCTAGAATTTCATGAAATTTTGAAATCATTTGAAACAATGAAACCTCATGTGAATATTGTAATATTGGATCACATGCACAGTTATATTTTGGGCTTCAAAAAGGATGTCGTCTGTTTGCTTGCGAATTAGAATTGTAGATTCGGTGGCAGTTAAATGTCAAGTCAAACTTAGCTTTTAAAATTAGGACACTTTAATATCAATTTAGGCTTAGCCTTCTAAATTTTGATATTTCATATTTCAATTTTTTATTAAGCTAAGAACCAAAATTTATTAAGTTATTCTCGAAGAAACAAACATTTAATATTTGGATCATTTTTAATAAATTCAAATATTTTGAACCTAATAGTTTAAGTTTGAAAAGCCCAAATTTTAGATTGATTTTAAACCTTAGGAGTTTAAATTTGAGAGCCTAGAATTAATTTTCAATTATAGAGGTCAAAATTTGAAATTTTCTATTTTAAATTATTTTTTAAACCCTTGGAGTTCAAGTTGAATATTTTTGTAAGTTTAAAAATGAAAAATTGAATTATTATTGCAAATTTATTGGCCAATTTTTGAATCATTTTAATAAGTCAAAAGAGTTCAAATTTAAAATGATTTGCAAGTCCAAATTCACAGAAAATTTTGGCAACTTTAAGTGTCCAGCCTTATTTTGGGGCTACCAAGAAAATACCAACCTTCCCAGCTATCTATAAGACGCACTACTTAGTGTCATGAGACACTGCGGCCAGAGAGCAAACCAAAGTAATTAACCCATGGTCTATTAGATGTTATGGCGTTCAAGATACCTACAAAAAGTCAAATCTCAAGCGGAAATTTTTCCAAATATATCATTTACTTTCCTTGACGATACTTGATTCCCTGAACAAGTACTTGTGTTTCCCAGAAGGAGTACTCAAATCTCCTAATTTATTAAAATATTTTTCAGTCGAGTCCGTAATTTCCCTAAATAGTACTCATATTCCCAAGACAGGTACTCGAGCTTCTTTACATGTATATTTTAAAAAATATCCTCCTACATTCATTATATATCTTTTAGAGTGGAATTTACAGTCGACAATGACAATACGGCTGAATCAACAAACTAATGAATTACCACTCAACTCTTTCTCTGCCTTTTCTGATTTTCTTTAATATATTATATATATTATATAATATATATTATATATTATCTAACATACAGTTTATAGGCCCATGACAGCAGAGAAGCTGAGAAATAGGAGTTCTAAAGAATAGCGAAGATGGAACCTTCGGTTATGCATATGTAACGAAGAGGATTTGATTGGAGTGGGGTCGTCTAGGTTACACGAACATGGTAAAGAAGTGGCGGACATGGTTGCTGCTAGGCTTGCAAACGGGAAAAGAGAGTTTTGGAGTTCAACGTAAGCTGTGATATCGCCGTTGCTTTCCCGTTGGTTATAGTCGTGATTGGACCACGAATCACAATCCCGATGAGGAAGTGATGTGGACGAAATGATTGGAGGCTTGCAATTTGTTGTGTTGGTGTTGCGGTGTGCTTGAGATGAGAAACAGACGAGCGACTTCACGCAAACAGGTGAGAGAGCAAGAAGTGGAGCGGGGGAGAAGATGAGTTGTGTGGTTTCTACGTATGAAACACAGAGGAGTTTGTAAGTCTTCACACACCGCAATCCCTTCGTTGGTTTCTTTAATAGGCCAAACTGTGACTGTATCGCGCGAACAAGAAGTCTTCAATGAGGCTACGAGCAAGATAAAAAGAAGAGTTTCGAGGTTCTCTGTATGGCATGATTCTATTGTTGCCTTCCCAACCAGTACTAGTTGCGATGATATCGTGGAGACGCGCAAGAGAGAAAAACGGGAGTTTTGAAGGCCTTCGTATGCTGTGAAACTATCGTTGCTTCCCGCTGGCTATAGCCACAAGTGTGTCGTGAGGGCCTCAGACACGACTAGGAAATGAGGCATGCGAAGGTTGTTGGAATGAATTGTATGGATAAGACTGAAGAATCGTGCGACACAGGGATACGAAGGACCGACACAAGGAGTTTCGGCAGTCTCATGCACAATGATCCCATCATTGCCATTTTCGGTAGAACAGAGAGAATTTCGAAGGCTTCGTCTAGAACGATTATGTGGTTGCTTTTCAACTAGCCTTAACTAGAATTGTATTGTGAATGAGAATCAAGATAAGAAAGGGAAGAAGTTGAGCAGAGGCTTCGATTTTTGCTTCACACATGAAGGGAGCTTGAACGGGAAGGTGGGAGTTTCAGAGGCCTTTGTGCATGGCCATCACTTTGTTGCTTTCCTACCTAGCCCTAGTTGCAACTGTATCAAAGAGGCGACGGTGCCGAGGGATTTGGGTCCAATTTCTGCAAGTGAAAATAAGAGTGGGAGCAGTTTTCATATGCTGGGGCAGGAGCAGTTATAAGGATGTCTAGTTTATTTTAATTTTTCTTTTTTATTAACATTTTAGAGGTCAACAGTGGGTAAATTTAACTGATATCAAAACGATTTAATAGTTGTTCTATAACGAACAAAAAGGGTGCTATATCAGCAGTGATAAATCAAATGTTAAACCCAATGTACTTTTCTTACATGCGAAAAGACTTGGATAGAAAGAAAACATAGGTTAAAAACAGATGGGCAAGAAAATATATGACAAAATTCTTTCATTCAGATGATGTCAAACTTCTTTAATTTGTAGTGAGTTAGATTCAAAACTCCATTTTGATCCAAAAACCTTTGCCCCTAACATGGAATTTTAACTGAAAAACACAAAATTAGATCTGCTCAGTCTTCAGTTATACAAATACATATATATACAAATATACATACATATATATATATATATATATAT